TGCTTAAACTTTGCACAAACTTATACCGATATTACGTATTAGTTTGATGACGTATCAAACCGATCACAGTACAATATAAGTAGCGTAGCAGCTGTAGAATTTTAGTTTGGTTTATATTTGTGCTGTTCACCGCGTTAATATGTGTAAGTTTAGCCACGAACTTGAATTAAGTCTGTCGCTATATATAGTTATATAGTTATAGTTATGTATGTGCATGTTATAGATAAAACTGGCGGCTGCTGGTAGTACTCTACTATACTGGAAAATGCCAAAGGCTATATATACTGAGGCAAAGCAAAAGCAATACAAAGCTTAGGAACATTTAAGCACAACTTAACTTGGACTGTACTGCTACCACTCTTTTTCACTTCACTTCTCATTTAGTTTTAGTTTTGAGCCTTTACTTAGTACATTTTTAGTTTAGTGTGCATACGCTTGCTAGCTCACCGTGGAAATATGCTCTTGCTACTGCTGACGTCTTACGCTGACGTTGCTACTACTTAATTTAATAGGTATATATATATCAATAAAATTTAAACAATTTTTTTTTTTTTACAAGTTCATTTATGTTGAAAAAGTGATAAATTTTCCGATACTCAATTCGCATAATTTTTTTCAATTTATCATTTTTAGTTCAATGGAATTTTTTTACGCTTTCAGTGAATTTTTATATTTATTTGCTTGTAAAAATTTATGGAGACTTTTATATCTTTATTTTTAAGAAAATTATTTTTTACATCACATTACTTATAAATAATTTTTCGATTAAAAAATTATCGAATTTTGCATGAATAATTTTTATTTTCAAAGTAATAATTTTTTATTATAATTTAGTTTCTTTGTAAAAAAAAATTTATTTCTTCTGTAACATTTGTTCTTAACTAAAAATGAGAAAAAGTAAAATTAATCTCTTCAAAATTATCTCTGTATAAAATTAAAAAGAAAAAAATTTTTATATAATTAAACAGTGCCGGTGTAGCTGTATTTACAATCATAAAAAAGTGAATAATATGTTTTATCCGCAAACTAAAAACACATCGACCGATTGTTACCGCGAATGGTTTGAAAGACGTCACAGGGCAATTGCGTCAATTGTCAACCATCAATCATATCGTGATGATAACAGCATTCTTTTAACAATAATTTATGTTTATGTTTTAAAAAAGTAATTCCCGGGACTGATTAGCCAAACCATGCAACAGGTATCCGCATAAAATATAATAGCTCTTATGCTGGTACTAACGTCACAGTAGTTATCAGTATTGGTATCGGTATCAGCATACACATAATAAAACGATTGTAGCTTATCGTCAGGCCGATGACATCAAAAAGTTTTGCTAATCGCCGAGTGATTTACACTGAAACTATTGTAATATAATAGTTAAGCCAGTACGTATATAGTACAACTCGTTTTACCGTTGTAATATTTCCTACAACTACGCTACTTACAGCAAAATAATAACTTAAAAAGTAAATCTACCATCATATCAAAACAGTGCGTTGTTTTCATTTCATTATTTATTTATTTAGTATAAAAATTTGAATGTATTTTTTTTTTATCTTTGCGATAACGTACGATGATACTATCTACCACGTGCATTTATTGTCTGACTTGTGTCTTCAATTTCCATTGTATCATATTATATTATATATGATATAGTATTGTTTTAATCCAAAGTTTACATACGCTAGATAAAAATTCCGCTGTAAAAAAAATATTATTATTTATAAATTTATATATTATACTTATTTTTTTTATTTTATTTTTATTCTATTAAAATCTATTTAATATTCAACAATCATACAAAATTTATTTTGGAACAAATAACTTTTGCGAGCATGATTTGAATTTTATAATAGACTCTGGCAACAGGTAAAAAAATTTCCATTATATTTTAATCTACGCGTCAGATTAACTTTTTTAAGTGTATTATTTCATTAAACGTGACTGTTAACTGCTGTATTATAAATGTTTCACAATTAATTTATTATTACACCGTAATGTTACTGTTACGTGACGGATAGACAGTAGATTGCTATGATAAAGTTAATATTTAACGCCAGCAGTATAAATCTAGTAATAATAAAATCATTCGAATGTTGTCAGTGGATAAAATAAAAATAAATAATTATGAATAATTACAACTAATAATAAACAGAGAAGATGTATAATTTATAGGTAATCGTACGTATTATCAATAATTAGTGTAATAACTCTGAAAAAGGTGAATAAATAATAAAAAATGTTAGTAATAATAGATTGTGTCTTGTGTCGGGCGTCACTTAAAATGCGATACGGTGTAGTGGCAAATAAAAAGATTTTACGTTTTACATGTCTAGTCGAGGATTTTCAGCACTGTACGTCAGACAGACTGTTGTTTGTTGGTAATTTTTGCAATCTCGAGCTATCTGACGTCCGTGTAAACTGATACGTAAGTTGAGTTAAGTTTAGCCGGACGTAATATTACCACACGCGAATTAATAAAAAGGACCAGACGCTTTACTTTAGCTTAATAATAATAATAATAATAATAATAAACTTTTCCTTTGAGTTTATTATAAGTTGTTTATTTATTCTTAAACTGATAAGGATGTTCTTGTTACAAGTCACTGAAAAGTGTCATTTAATAAAGAGTGTTGCAGGAAAGACCACCCGCGTAATATGCCACTTCAATGTCACAATTACACATTAAATATGTTAATGATCTGCATCGGAATTGTGATTAAATTTTATCACTTATATTACATTAAACCTATTACTTTTTGGATTGACGTGTAATCTTAAACTTTAATGCATCCGGGATATTTATAATCACGTGTTATAATCAACTAATGTCTCGTGTCTATCTCTGTGTTTTATGTTCCATATTTCTATATTTTATGTCTTGCGTCTTGTTATTTAAAAATAAAAAAAAAAAAATTAAAAATGAAAAACAAAAGTAGTCTGTTAGTTAACGTGATAATAATCCTCCACCGGTCAATCGTGCTGTTGATAACTCTCTATCTTAGAATGGACCGGCTGTTACGTAAGATCCTATATTAATATATATGACTATATTTATGTACATCCGTCAATAAAATTTATTTTAATTTTTTTTTTAATTATTTCATTGCAATAGATTTCTTCATTCATGTTTCTTATATTTTGATAGTCGTTACAATATATCATCATAAATATTTATTAAGGCGCGCAGTAGCCTATCGGATCCGGCCCTTGCTTACCAAAGCATTGGACCGGGTTCGAGTCCGGCGTACACCAATTAATATTTTCAATATTTAAATGTATTATTCTGCTCAACCCAAGAAATAAAACAAGTTCCAATCTCAAAAGTTTACCCCCTACCGTAGTCGCTCATGACCTTAGTAGTTTATGCGATTTTAAACAAATTAAGAAAAAAAAAATATATATATATATTTATTATTATTTGCACGACTTGTGTAAAACTTTTCAATTGAATAAAAAAATAATAAATTTTTATTTTGTCCGCCAAGTTTCAATTGTAACTGGTATTGTTATCAAGTGATGACTTGATAATTCATAAATTAATTGTTTTATAAAAGAATGATTGTTATTAATTAAAAAAAAATTATTACTATGAAATATTTTTAATTACAACAATAAAAATTAAAGTTGTTTTAGTATTAAAAGCTTGTCTTAACTTCACCGTTATCTTCAGAAGTGTAATTTAATTTCTTGAAGACAACAATTAAATTAAATAATGTAAATATTATAATTTTATTTAATTTCACCCATTAATGTGTCATTTTGCAAACTTCCTTTAACATAAAGATAGCGACAATCAACAAACACGGTTTTTTTCATTAATTGTCAACTCAAATGACTATTAGGTAACATTTCAAACGTTCAGATTTGATTATTATCGGAAATTCCCAGCTTGAAAAACAAATAATATCGTTCTACCATTTTGGAAAGAAACTTATCAGTTACATAAAAGTTTTTTGTTAAAACAACCAATGTTTCGCTTTTGCAAATTAGTTCAAGATATTTAATTTAAGGATTTAATCTATTCAGTAAGATAAAATAAAATTGTTAATTAATATATCGTGAGCTCAATCAATTTTCAATTATACTCCGATAGTATCTTAAAATAATAATATTAATTCAAAAGACAATTTATCTAAAAATAAATAAATTTAATCTTGGAATATCCTGAGAAGAAATAGCATAATCTGACGGCGCATCTGGCTGAAGAATTACAAAACTAACTAAATATAATAATAAAAAACCACAGTTAGTCATTAGTTGATTTAGAAATACGTAAAATGAAATGCTAAACTTCCGGTAGTTTGTTTCTAAATTAAATAAAACGTAACGTGAATTTTAATATTCTTTGGCAAAAATATTAATACTATGTTAATCCTTTTAATTTTTGTTACCTAGTGTTCTAAAAATTAATTTGCAGAAACTTTAATTTAATTTAAATTAATTTAATACTAAAAGCCTTAGTACAAAATAGTGATAATAATTATATGAAATATTTAATTGTCAATTGGTGTTAGAACCAAAGCTTTAATTATTTAATAAGATGTAGTTTAACACAAACTATTGTGATGAAAAAATTGTAAAAAGCAGTTCTTACTGTTGTACCATGTTTAAATAAATCTAAATATAATCTACACTGAGAAAAAAAATACTTTTACTCAATTAACAATTTCTTGGTTCAAGAAACTCGCTGATGATAAAATATTCTATTATTATTAATTATTAATTTCTGAAGAGAAGAGCATAAATATTTATCTTTGGATAATAGATTAACAAAAGAATAGCTTTATTTAAATTAAGTAAAAATTATTTCAATCAATTTAACAATTTCTTGAGCTAAGAATATATATTCTTGAAAATTTTCAAGAACATAAATTCTTGTATCAAGAAAATTTTCTTAATAAAAGTATTTTTTTTTTCTCAGTGTATATTAATACTATATTTTTGGTTTTATTATTTTTTAGGATTGTACTTACGGACGATTGGCGAACCGAGGATGACGGCAGAAACCGCAGCTCCGTGTGTTCAAAGTGTACAAAGTGTACCCAGTGGCGTTATGGTAGACGAGACAAGTGGAATAGATCAGCAAAATCATCATCAGCAGCAGCATCATCATCAAAAATCCCTCATAAACAATGTCAGTAGTAACAATACATCACCGACAAATCGGCCACTATTATCACCCGGCTTTCCAAACTCATCATCGAATCCTCCGGAATATAATCCGGAATACGCGAGTATGGAATCCTGGCTTGATGAACATCCAGACTTTGTTAATGATTATTTTCTCAGGTATTTTATTTATTTTTCTTTAGATATTAAATATAAGTGATGACGCATTTGAAATGTCGATCGTGGCTCTTATACATTTATTATTCTATACGTTTTATAGTTTACAACTCTATCAGTTTCTTTAACTACTCAATTAAAGTGTTATTTTTCTTTTATTAGTTTCGATTATTATAATGTAATTAAAGTCAGTATTTATTTTTAAAAAGAAGAAAATGGAAAAGTTTTTTTTAGTAAATATAATATACTTCTCCCTTTGTAAACTAATTAAATTGTATCATCACTTATTTATTAATAGCTCTGTTAGTTAATAAATAAAATCAATCTACCGCTTGGTTGATTAATAAATTAACTTTAATTGTTGCGTGATACTTAATTGATGAAATATTTACTTGCGTAGAAAAGTGACACGGCAGACTGTCGACGCGTGGTTAGTAATGCACGCAACGCCAACAGCATCATCAGCAAGTTGCATGATGGACGGCATGATGAGCGGTCAGAATCACTGCTCACAAAATTCAAACGCTTGTAATAATGCCGGTAGCACTACTGTTACGTCACCGGGTGGTGGATCAGGTGCTACAACACCGGTTCGCAAAATATCAGCACACGAATTTGAACGTGGTGGATTACTTAAACCGATTGTCAATACTATTGACGGCACGCCGACATTCCTAAGCATCGCGCCTGAAGATTCCGGACAGACCGGTGCTGGGCAACAGGGTGGCGGAACTAGTGGTGCTGTTAGGCCGCAACGAAAGTCCAGAAATGAATTACGGCAACTTGATGAAAGAGATCTTATATTTGAGTTGGTAATATTTATTTATATTATTTACAAATATTTACTTATTTTTTTATTTTAGTTAATTTTTTAAAAAAATTTTCGGTAATTATTTACAAGTGGAATAAAATTTTATTTTGGGCTATAACTAAGAAAAAAATTAACATTTTCAAATTTTTTTATTCCGCTTATTTTTACGGCACATTTATGATAAAAAAATCCCGTGAAAAACAAAAATAAAGATTTCGATCGCTTTTTTGCCTTCAAAAGTTGGAAAGAATTTTTTGTTTTTGGATAAAATTTCAATTTTATCTTTTTTTGATAGTTTTTTTCAAAAATTTGTTAAAATTATGATATTCAACTTTTTTTTTTTTTTTTAATTGTTCATTTTTTGATGTATTATTCAAAAAAAAATATATTAATAAAATCAAATAGGAATTTCGTTCAAAAAAATGAAAATTAAAATTGTCTTCACTTGTAAATATTTACCAAATTTTCTTATAAATTTTAATATTTAGAATTAATGCATTTAAAAAGAAAATTTATATTGTTGAGTCATGAGATTTAACAAAAATATAATATATATATATATTTATACATTGTACATAGATTAATAGAAAGCATTATCACCTTCAGCAAAGTCATTCTACGGTGACCCTCTATTACAAATGACTCGTATTAAGAAAATAAGTGAACTAAGTGGTATTAGTAGGATACAATAAGTCATTGAAATCTTCTAAATGCGTTAATTTATCGATGTTGTTGTTGGTATTGATATACATAAGTAAAAAAGATAAAAATGATTAATTCTGATAAATTCTTATAAGCTAAATGTGATAAAAAAAAAAAAATGAGTATTTGTTATAAGTCCGTAAAATTATATTCTTCTTTGTATTGGTGATTAACGATACGCGTATAAATTATTGGTAGTGTTTTATTTAAAATTCATGAAACGCTGTAAAATTAAATTAACAATTTAATTGATGTATATGAATTTTATTTGATTGTAGGTCAAGGATATATGTAATGAGCTGGACGTGCGATCGCTGTGTCATAAAATCCTTCAGAATGTCAGCATGCTGTTGCATGCAGACCGCGGATCTTTGTTTTTGGTCCAGGGCGAGCGAAAGTGCGCCGCTGACAGCAACTTACGTTCCGATAACTTCAATCCTCTCATCAGAGGGAGTTTCAATAACAACAATAATAACAGCATCAGTAAAAATAATAATAATAACAATAAAAATAAAATTCCTGGTAAGAGTAAGAGCTCCGATGAATCAGTGAGTGATAATTTAAGTCCTCCAAAATTAACACGCCCGAGAAGCAGGTGTCTCGTATCGAAGCTCTTTGATGTTTGCTCGAGATCGACACTCGTCGAAATGGAGAAAAATGACGAGATTAAAATTCCTTGGGGCACTGGGATTGTTGGATTTGTTGCGGAGAGCGGCGAACCTGTTAATATTCCTGATGCATACATGGTTATTACATTTTTTTATTATTTTATCTGGAAAAAAAAAAAAAATATAAAAAATAAATAAACAAGATATTGCACAAGATTATTGAGTTTTAAAAGTTAAAACTGTAAATATTTTTTTTATATTTCAGGATGATAGATTTAATCGCGAAATAGATGTGTTGACTGGGTACAGAACAAAAGCACTTTTGTGCATGCCGATAAAGGATTGCAGCGGTGATGTAATAGGTGTTGCGCAAGTTATCAATAAATTGGGCGGAGAAGCACAATTTACGGTACAAGATGAAAAAATATTCGCCAGTTATCTTCAATTTTGCGGGATTGGCTTGAAGAATGCACAGCTGTATGAGAAAAGTCAGTTAGAGGTCAAGAGAAACCAGGTGAGAGGTTGCGTTGATGTGTTTTGAATGATACATTCAAATAACTGTTATTTTTTTTTTTTATTCAACTGTGTAAAGATCAATTAACGTTGTTTTAAAAAATATTCATGTTTTTTTAACTTACTGTTTATTTTGAAAGCTACTTGTTTCATTTCCAGGTATTATTGGATTTAGCTCGCATGATCTTTGAAGAGCAGAGCACAATAGAGCATATGGTATTTAGAATTTTAACCCACACACAGTCTCTCATTCAATGCCAACGTGTACAGGTATTGTTTTTTTTATTAATTATAAATTCTTAAAATTTTTTAAAAGTTGATTTTTATCTCTTAATTTGAATACTTATCGATTGATTATTGATAATTAATATGAGTTTATACATGTGTTACAGGTACTTTTAGTACATAAAGCGTCAAAAGGAAGTTTTTCTCGGGTATTTGATTTTGAAGCAAATGATCTCACTGGCGATGATACGGATTCTCGAACTAGGTGATTGTTAAAAAATGGTATTTTATTATAAGTTGATGAGTAATCTAATAATTAATATAATATATTGCGTTACAGATGCCATAAGGGTGTATAAAAAAATTTTTTTTTTCAGTAATCAACTTATTTTTTAATGGAACGTGCAGAAATGCACAAAAAAATTTTTTTTCTAAACTAAAAATTTTTTTTGGGCTTAGAAAAAAAAATACAATTTTTATTATACGCCCTTATGGTATCCGAGGTGGATTCCGGGAGCTATAAAGGCGTATAAATTTTTTTTTTTTTTTTTTTTTTTTTTTTGCATTTCTGCACATTTCGGACAAAACTACGTCGATTCCCGAAAAAAAATTTTTATACGCCCTTATGGCATTTGGAACGCGATATATTCAATATTTTTTATTCAAATTTCAATCTAACTGTTATTAGTATCAATATTACTTAATTTAAATATCAGGTATGACTTAAATTTAACGGACTGTCGATTATACTTTGTGTTACAGTCCGTTCGAAAGTAGATTTCCTATAAACATTGGTATCACTGGGTATGTTGCGACTACCGGTGAGGTAAGTATCATAACCGAATATGTCATTGTCATTTTCTACGATAATTATCATTACTCTTTAATCGGTTTTTTATCAAAACTATAAACGTCATAGCAGACAGTAAAAACTAATAGTAATTAATGACAATAATAATTATCACAATATATATATGAGAGCTAAATAAGAGCTCTCAGATGTATGTTTTACTTCTCCGATTAAAGAGAAATAAAAAATAATTATTTTTATTATTATTTTACTTGAATAAAAAAAAAAATTTATTGTATTAATTATAATTACAGACAGTAAATATTGCAAATGCGTACGAGGATACGCGATTCGACCCTTCAGTGGACGATGGTACTGGATTCCGTCACAGGACAATTCTTTGCATGCCAATAAAGAATTCATCCGGTCAAATAATTGGAGTTATTCAGCTAGTAAATAAATTCGAAGATCTTTTATTTACTAAAAATGATGAGAATTTCGTGGAAGCTTTTGCTATTTTTTGTGGAATGGGAATTCATAACACACATATGTAAATATATATTTTTTCTACCTAGTATAAATATTTAAAATAATTAATATACTTATATTGATAAATAAATAAATAAATAAACCAGGTATGAAACAGCAATCACTGCAATGGCAAAGCAAAGTGTTACACTAGAAGTTCTAAGTTATCATGCGTCCGCCTCAATAGACGATGCAATAAGATTAAAGGTATTATTATTTAAATAAATAATTAATATTTATTACTAACTTATTGATTGATGTATGATCCTAATACAGAGCTTAAGGGTGCCATCCTCGGCATACTTTCACCTCCACGATTTCAAGTTCGATGACATACTAATGGAGGACGATGATACTCTCACGGCGTGCTTAAGAATGTTCCTCGACCTAGACTTTGTTGAACGGTTCCACATTGACTACGATGTACTTTGCCGTTGGTTATTAAGTGTCAAAAAAAATTATCGTAATGTTACTTATCACAATTGGCGACACGCCTTCAACGTTGCGCAGATGATGTTTGCGATACTAACGGTAACTAAATTCATAAATCTAATATTTATACTAAATATCAACCATCATTATTTATTTATTTATAAAAGTTAGATCAATGACCCGTCGACCTTTTACAATTATATATACCTGTGTTTTTATATTTATTTATGTTTAATTTTTTTTATCACATCAAGGCGACGCAGTGGTGGAAGATATTTGGAGAAATCGAGTGCTTGGCTCTTATAATTGCCTGTCTGTGTCATGACCTTGACCATAGAGGCACCAACAATTCATTTCAAATCAAGTATGTTATCTTTAAACAATAAAAACAAATTATTTTTGTTTTAATCTATATTATTAAGAGAATAAGTAAAATTTTGTGGCCAGTGTATTTATATGATAAAATGGGTTTTTTATGGTTAAATTTAGTATCATTGAAAAAGTCGACTTGAATTTGTGTCTTTTCATGGTTTCATATTATTCTCACCAATAGTCAATTTATGATGATGAATAATTAGGCTACATTCGAAAATGCTCTATCTCTAGATCCATAATTAAGAAATGACGTTGTATCTCGTGAACTATTGACATTTTTAAAGATATAAGCTCATCCCGATGTTACACTCATCGAGACCTTTCATTTGAGCACCCACATCAATTTTTCATATATATTATATATATGTGTATATATGAAAAATATATCAAAAATGCATGTGGGTACTCAAATGAAAGCTCTTGATGAGTGTAACATCGGGATGAGCTTATATCTTAAAAA